CCAATCTCATAAATTCTCACTCAGAATTACATGTTTTCTTGTTCCTTTTTCTCATAACAGACTTGAACAGATAAAGAAAAAGTAACACAATATACAATATAAATATTATTCATTAAAAAAAGAAAAGGAAACTGAGGAAGGGAAGAAGAAACAGGAAAAGGAGGAATCTTGAATTTACAATAATATGGACAAATCTGGAGGCCACTGCATTAAGTAAAATAAAACAGGCATAGGATCAAATACATGATCATTCTTATAAGTGATAAATAAAATATCAGATTCACAAAAGCAGAAAGTAGAATGGTGGGTTCCAAGGCCTGGAAGGAAATCTTTGGAAATATCAAATAATATAAAATTTCTATTAGATAAGAGGAAAATCTTAGAGATAACTAGCATTTAACAAGGTGACTATAATTGATAACAATGTATTGCAGCTTTAAATCTCACTAAGAAAGTAGGAACATGTTCTTATCACAAAAATATGTGTTAATTAGCTCCATTTAGCCATTCCACAACATATATACATATATGTTGTATATATTACATAAACATATATATTTCAATGCATCATGATCTGCATATCCAATACATAAAAGTTTTATTTGTTTACTAAATTTAGATAAATAAAATCAGACATGAAATGCATGCCTATAATCCAGCACAGGGGAGGCTAAGGCAAGAAAATTATGAGTTTGAAGCTAGCCTGGGCTGCACAGCAAGACCCTGCTTCAAAAATACTAAACATCCAACCAAATAGTGGGAAAAGTAAAACCATGTCAGAAAGGAGCCCACAGAATGCTAAGTATAGAGATTTAGTGTCCCTCAGCAGGGGTGTTCACACACAAGTTCATCTTGCTGAACTTGCTGATTGGCCTGTCCACAAATCAATTCTGAGCAAAGTAGCATTCAATCAGATGTACCCATTCATGTTAGCACAACATCAGAGAAAACTGCCTGAAATTTTGCATGCAGGTCATCCATTTCTTCTCTTCACTTCTACCCAATCTAATGTTGAGTGTATTTTGTTGTTAAGGTATCAGATGCTTTGAGAATACTTGATGTAGCAAAAAAAAAAAAAGTATTATTTTGCATTAGGTAAAATACTTAATGTAAGTAAAACTTAATGAAGTTAAAAAACAATTTTCAAAGAAGAGAGGAAAGTGCTACAAGCAACAGGAACAGAAAATAGCATAACCATGGTTTCAGGGAGGGATCTAGGCGACTTTTTCTTTGTGAGGAGACACAGATTCAACTCCACCTTCAAGGAGACTGTAAACAGGAAGTCATCATTGATGCTGTACACCCAAGCCCTTATCTAGAGAAGGAACAACCTTTGATGATTACAACTGTGTACCAAACACACATTCCAAAAGTCTAAAGTTTTGTGAGAAGGACTTCTCAACACTGTAAACTTCAGTTGTCTCATTTACTCAGGAAGGTTCCCCACTATGAGTCTTCTGGATTCACAGGACTCAGTAGAGGTCTATCCCAACAACCAGGATCACTACATACTTAAGAGTATTAATTTAGAAAACTAGGTGACCTAAAAATGTGTTTGTGTGTATGTGATTCATGTTATGTGGGCCATCAAAATACACACATAAATAAAATAGAAAAAAAATCAAGCGCTTGGGTTTTTATTAGGATTTTCAGATTGATTAATTAAATTCACAGACCTTAGAGTCGGAGAGACAGCTCCAGGCTTAAGAGTATTTGCTGCTCTTATAGGGGACCAGAGTCCTGTTCCAAGCACTAAGATCAGGTAGCTCACAATCACCTCTAACTTCAGCGCCAGTGACTCCAACACCCTTTTCTTGTCTCTTGGGGCACCTGCACTCATGTGTACATTCACAAACAGATATATAAAATAATATTTTTTATTTTGAAAAACTTAAGTTTCTTAGAACCTCCTCATCAGACGTTTAATACTATTTCGTGGACAACACTAAAGTTAATACAGAAGGTAGTTTAAGAATAGCCCTTGAAAAGACATTCAAGGAAATGCAACCAAACTGTTTTATGTATTTATTTATTTTAATATTTAGTTACTTCAGTGCTTAAACGCTTACCTCAAAACCAGTGTTTGAAAGATTATTGACAATGAGGCTTCAATATAAATCTTCTGTTATTCTCTTCTCTCATTATAATTTTTTTTCTGTCATCTCTTCCCACATTTCTCAAATATCCATCTTAATAAATGGTGCATAGTTTTTCACACTGCTTGTTGGAATTAAGTGTGGCTTTATGAAATTTTTTTGTATTTAACTGTAAGGGTGTGTGTGTGTGTGTGTGTGTGTGTGTGTGTGTGTGTGTGTGTGTGTGTATTTGCATTATATATGTACAGGAGCCCACAGAGTGTAAGTGCTAAATAAAGCTAACTCTAAGCCCCACTTGCCCAAGGGCAGATAACTCCTGGAATGCTGGGACCTGTATTTCTTGTGAGATAACAAGTCATATGTTTTCACCTCAATAAACAAGGTTGGTTGCCCCAACTGCACAGGGTGTTGGGATCACATGTAGGTGTGAGATACATAGGCAGAAAGTATGTTAGGATATATGTTTACTCCTGATTGGGCGAAGGCGGGAAGTACCATAGCTTTGTGGGGGTTTGGTTTTATGAGCACCTGACAGACTTAAATTCAGGGCCATGTCTGAGAATCCTGCGTATGGACTAGCCAGAGTCCTTTTTCCTGGCAAGTACTAAATAGAGTTCGCTTTAATTGGATAATTGTGGAACTGTTCTTTCTCCTCAAAATGCTCACGTTTAGCATTTGGAATTCCCTAGCGAGGCCAGACCATTCACCCAAATTCTGAAACTGGCCCCGGGCTCCTAGACCAGCCATCTAGGAGGCATGCATGCCCCTTGGAATCCAAGGCTCCAGGACTACCTATCAAAAAGGAAATAGCAACCAAGTTTTTCTTTTTCACGGATGCCCCCTTCTGGTAAGTCATAGGAACTTCTGAAATTTTTTCTGTGACAAACTGGTTTCTAAGTTCTGTGGGTTCCCAACATGGGGAGGTGGGGGTGACGAGATCCAAATATTTCCCTGTCCAGGGCAAAGTGAGACATCACGTGTCCCTTTGGTTATTTTTTGTTAATTGGGAGTCCGGCCAGGGTAACCCGTGTTCCTTCCCTGACCTGCCTTGAGATCCTGGCAATGCCCTGGCGAAGACAGGGGCCTGAGAATAAACTTGGTAGCGGCAGCACCTGAACATCCATTGGATGGGTTTCAATTCTGAAGCTGTACAACAGAGCTGAGAAGCCATAAGGACATTTCACAACACGGGGGGCCAAGCCAAGGGTTTGGAGAGGCCCAGCGCAGGGCGTCAGCGATTCCGGGAGCCCAGCAGAACTCAGAAAAGTCAGGCCACTGGTGGGTTCCCAGTGTCTAGATTGTGAGGAAAAAAAGGGGGCTTCCTGTTTGTTAAGAAATTTCTTTGGCCAAACTGATGAATCTCTGAATGATTCCAGTTGTTGATGTCGTTGTCTTGTGTTTTCTGCTCTCGTTTTTGCTCTGCGTCTTGTATTTTATTGTCTTTATGTGCTCCAATATCAGGGAAAGATTTGTCTGTCTGTTTTGGAAGTGTGGATGTGTCTGTGCTTTCTGATATGTCTGTAAGTTTTGTATTGGAAACACGGAGCTGAGTAGGAAATGGGTCAGGCTCAACTGAATGTACGAGTCATAGTATGTTTTGTTTCTGATTGGTCTCCTTTGAGCGTATGAGCTGCCACTCCTCCCACGGCTTCTTCCATGGCTGGGCTCAGAATTGATCTCTGAGCTTTCTGGTCACTGGGTTTAGTTCAGTAGGGGTTCAAATGGTTTTTGGATATGGATAATGTTAAAAATGTTTTATGCTGTTCTCACTTTATTGAAACCCTATAGGCTGAGTTTTCCTGTCCCACCAGCCAGCTCCCAAAAAACCTCAGAGACTTATTATTAGTTATAAATGCTAGTCTGATAGCTTAGGTCTGTTACTAATTGGCTCTTAAAACTTAAATTAACCCATATTTCTTACCTATGCTCTATCACATGGCAGTATCTTTTTTCAGTGCAGCATGTTCATCTCCTGCTTCCTCTGAATCTGGCTGGCAACTCCTTGTGACTCTGCCCTTCTTCTTGCCAGTGTCCTCTCAGTCTGGGTCTCCCATATAACCTATTCTTTCCCAGCTATTGGCCAGTTGGCTCTTTATTAAACCAATGAAAGTAATACATATTCACAGTGTGCAAAAAGATTATTCCACAGCAAAAAAATCTGGCTCTGGAATTAGGTTATGGTTCTTCCCTTTTCAGACCCAGGCATGCTTTAAAAGTCTCTGTGTCCAGGATCAGAGGATTCCCGCCCCCGCCCCCCCCCCCCCCCCCCGATACTCTGACAGGGAGAAGAGCACAAAGCAGAATAACTAAAAGAGATGATTGGTTTCATTTAATTGCCTAAGACTTTTACTAAGATATAAACCTTATCTCAAGATTGGTAAGTTTACTGTGTATGGTTAAAAATCTGTAATATCTGTAACAAAAAAAAGTTAACTTGGTAACACACCATTGATAGTTTAAAAAAAACTATGTGTAAGAAATCTTAAAGGAACCATAGGGTATGATGCCATTGGGGACATAAGCAACATGTGACTTCACCACCATCTTTAGGCAGCAACATGGCTGGCAACCATCTTTCCTAGGGTTGGAGAAGATGAATGTCATGTGATTTCACCACCATCTTGATTGGAGATGATCACATGATGTGAGCCAACCAAGGAAGCAACAATAGTTTCCAAGATATTTCAGATTAGGATGGATTTATTTTTAAGATTTATTTATTTATTATGTATACAGCATATGTAACTACAGGTCAGAAGAGGGCACCATATCTCATTACAGATGGTTGTGAGCCACCATGTGGTTGCTGGGAATTGAACTCAGGACCTCTGGAAGAACGGCCAGTGCTCTTAACCTCTGAGCCATCTTGTATTTTATTGTCTTTATGTGCTCCAATAGCAGGGAAATCCAGCCCCAGGATGGATTTTTTTAAATGACAATTCCTGTCTTGAAAACAAAGTTTATGAAAAATAGGACGTAAAAACAAAGCTAGTTTAATAAGGTATTAAAGCCAAGAATGCACCTCATGCTGACAGCCAAACTTTATAATGTAAGAATCAACCAAGTGGTACTGGTTTTAAAGATATGAAGGAATCATGCAGAGCAGCTGAGAGTTGGCACAGTATGGCAGGGCTAGAATTCCTGAAGGCATCCCAGTTGCTATGGGGACCAGGAAAGTAAAGTTGTCAGTCTCCCTATGTGCTGCATTCATGATTTAAAATTTTATTTTGATACTAAAAGGAATTTCAATTCAGAAGCTGTTCCCCCCACCACCAAAGGCTCAAACTTAACACAGATAAAGCTGTAAGTTCTAGTCTTATAAAAGCTGCTAACACACTGTAAACTGTTAAAAATAATTAAGACATGCAATTCAATGATCAGTTGCCTAATAAAGGATCAAATTCTTTAATATGTTCATAACTATACTTGTAGTCATGCTAAGTACTAATGTAATTAATTACAGAAATAAGCCTTATTTAGCCTCTTGCCTATGTTTTCAAGATTAAACCAAAAGCAAGTAACTAAAAACAAGCAAAGACTGCTTAGCTCAGATATACTTAGTAGAAAATGGTACTCAAACTTGTCAGAGATCTGCTGAATATGACATTTTAAATGTTTAATGGAAAAAAAACCTTACTATTGTAGTTGGAAGTTTTCCTGTGTCCTACCTGGTCCCACAGCCACTCAGACCCAAGTAAACACACAGAGGCTTATATTACTTACAAACTATATGGCCTAATGGCTCAGGATTCTCACTAGCTAGCTAGCTCTTACAACTTAACTCAGCCCATTTCTATTAATCTATGCATTGCCACATGGCTTTGTGGTTTACAGGTACTTTCACATCTTTCTTCTCCTGGCAGCATCTCCCCACTCTCCTTTCTACTTCTCTCTCTCCAGTTTGAATGTACCACCTAACCTTATTCTGCCTCACCATTGGCCAAACAGTTTTATTTATCAGCCAATCAGAGCAACACATATTCACATACAGAAAGATATCCACAGCATACTATGACAGACAAACCTCAGCTTTTAGTGGTGACCATAAGGTCTCCAAAGAAGATGATGGTGCACCAGGACTCCACCTGGATTGTGGTCACACTAACCACTGGGAAAAGCTGCCCCAATTTCTAGATCACCACTAGTACCCTGCCCAAACTGTGGACAAAGATACTAGAGAGTTGATTGCCCTGCTTTGCCTAGACAAAGCAAGTCCTCCTAGTTCCTCCTCCACAGGAATGTCACTCAGATCTTCTAAACTTGACAGCTGAAGACTGATCCTTCCCTGGGATCTCTGCCTCCAAGAAAGCCATCAACAACACAAGAGCCTAGGGTGACCATCTAGATGATGGATAAGTCTCTGTCCTTTTAGTTGATACACAGGCCATTCAGGTTATACTTCCTGCTATAATTTATCCTTCTCCATCCTATGATGGCACTGACAGCTAGGCTAACTGCAACTTTGTGAGTTTAACAGCAGTAGGCAACCAGCTCCTTTCCGAAGGCTGTAGCCACCTTGTAAGTTCATTTTGTATGTAAAAATTAGGTGCTTTTTCTAGAGCTACTAGGTCTCCTGATGAGAAAGGCAGATAGGTTTGACTTGCTAACAGGCTTCATATTAAAGTATAAACAGGTTTCAGATGTTAATTTTACTGTTTCTTTACTTAACGGAACTTGTTTTGCAGTGACTGTTCTCAGTAATAACTACTTGTATCTCTGACAAATGATTAGATGGGGGAAAAAAGGCTCAAAGTCTATGCAAGTTCTGAGGGTATAAGAAAATAATTTAAGGTATGTGAATAATAGAAAATGTTTGACATTTCTTCCCCTCATCTAAGCTATTGTTATACTGAGATTTCTCACAGCTATCTGATATCTGCTTTTTCTACAGTGTGGATTTTAGTACAGAGTGCAAACAATGGTAATAGTAATATATCTAAAACTTTTATCTCTTTTTTTAAACCAAAATTTTCATATAATCTTCAAGGAATTGGGTAAATCATAAGACTTTTATCCACCTCTCACAGGTTAAATAGACTCCAGGTAAGTACAGCCTAAATTTTTTCACCTACCGAGGGGGGGGGGCTCTTTCTCTCTCTCCTTTGGTTTTGGGTTCCTCCCCTCCCTCAACTATCGGGATAATGGCCCTGTGTGGTGGTATTGTTCTCCCCAAAATATTGTGCACTCTAGTAAACTTATCTGGGATCAGAGACAGAACAGTCACAATATTAAACATAGAGGATAGGCAGTTGTAGCACACGCCTTTAATCCTAGCATTCCAGAAGCAGAAATCCATCTGTTCAAGGATACAGCCAAGCATGGTGACTTGCGCCTTTAATCCCAGAAAGTGAGCCTTTAATCCCAGGGAGTGATGGTAGAAAGGAAAGATATATAAGGCGTGAAGACCAGAAACTAGCAGCTTTTGGCTGGTTAAACTTTTAGGCTTTGAGCAGCACAGTTCAGCTGAGATTCATTCTGGATGAGAAGTCAGAGGCTTCCAGTCTGAGGAAACAGGATCATCTGAGGAACTGGAGAGGTGAGGTGGCTGTGGCCTGTTCTGTCTCTCTGATCATCCAGCATTCACCCCAATAACTGGCCTCAAGTTTGATTTTATTAATAAGAACTTCTAAGATTCCTGCTACAGCCCTGTAAGTTCCAAATGTAAGATTTTCTATTAAGTTTAAACTTTAATTTCTGTCCCTAGTCTATATTTGTCTCAGCAGATTTCCACTTAGCTAACAGACACCATCTAAAAATCAACTACAGACTACAAACTGCTGAGCTTTGGACTTCCTGAAAGCTAATGTGAACCAGTCCAGGGGATATAACTGCTCCCTGTATCTTCAGCTTGGTCAGCAAACCAGATGCTTCTGATTAATGTCCCATTGCCTGAACCCCCCACCCACAGGTTTTGACTAGAATTCTAGCCTTGCTGGGTCCTGACAATGGTGTCTTAATTTCAGTAGGAAATTGTTAAAGAGACTACATCACCCCTTGTCCTCAATAGGTTGGATTATTAGATCAAAGGACATGGCATATGGGGACAAAATAGCTACCTATAGTGCCTATTGGAATACCAGGAATGGTATCTGTTAAAATCAAATAGGCCCAGATCTATCAACAGGTAGATTCATTTGCTGAAATAGTTTTACAGTATAATAGGGGATTTGACCTGTTCTATACAGAACAAGAAGGTATTATATGGCTTTAAGAGAAAATTGTTATTTTTATACAAATTACTAAGGAATCATTAGAGATAATCTGGCTGCACTCAAAGACAGAGAGAGAGAGAGAGAGAGAGAGAGAGAGAGAGAGAGAGAGAGAGAGAGGATAAATATTGAAAATAAAGGGGACACTAGATGAAAAATGACTAGTTCCCATTCTCATAGGAACTCTGATGTCAGCCATCACAGAGCCAGAGTCAAGGATTTAACTCAGGATACAACTCAAGGGGAATGTAAGTACTAAAATCAACCTATAAGCCCCACTTGCCAAGGACAGATAATTGCCTGGAATTCAGCGGTGGGGGCTGTGGTTCTTGTGAGATAGCAAATTATGTGTTTTCACTTTAATAAACAAAGTTGGTTGCCCCTACCTCACACAATGTTGGGATCACACATAGGTGGGAGATATGTAGGCAGGAAGTACATCAGGATGTATATGTACCCCTAGTTGGGCCAAGGTGGGAAGTACCATAGCTTTGTCGAGGTTTGCTTTTATGAACACACCAATAGGAAGAATGTTAAATTGAAACAAAAAAAAATTTTGATCAGGTTAAGGGCTAGAGATTCTTTAAGTAGTTAGAGGAAGCAAATAAAGCTTATTGTGAGTCCATCCTAAGTGCATGCTTTGAAGTAAGGGGGCAATGAGGTGAAGCCACAAAATGAAGGGACTGGGAAAACAGAAATCCCCAGGCATTAAACAGCAGGCAGCATAGTCTGATGTGAGGTTTAGAGTAGCTGTATTGAGAGTGGATGTCACAGTGTGTCTCAGTGCCATCCCAATACTAAGGATGGATTGTCATGGTATGTCTCAGTGCCATCCCAATATTTAGAGTAGATTTTCACAGTATGTCTCAGTGCCGTCCCAATACTAAGAATATAAGCGAACAAAAAAGGCTCTCCTTGAAAACCAGAACAATAACCTGAGTACAAAGATAATGCAAATAAATCAAAAGTAATCCAATTTGTAAAACTTAAGTGAAGCTTTGAATACTGAGGGAGAGAGGAAAGCAAAGTCGTGGCGGACTCCAAGATCTCAGCTTAACTAGTACAGGCAGGCTTCTGAAATCTAATGGATCAGTAACTTTAGTAACATGGAAGATGGACAGCCCCCGAGATGTCCAATGGACAGTCATTTAATAAGGTCCAGTTTGGAGATAATAAATTGATGACATTATGAAGGAGATGAGTTCAATCATTAGTTGTGTATATTGGCTGATCCAAGCAAAACTCTGGGGAGTCTCCATGTTTACAAGAGCAGAGGAGAAAACCCATGCAGGAAAAGCTGCAGTGACAGACAGAAGTGGGCCATAGACACCAGGCTAATATTTCAAGATGAATGGATTAGTTAATATCAAGTCAAGCTGTAGAGAGCTCCAAAAATCTAGATAGTCAGCCACTGGTGGCTTGATGAAAACATTTTACTGAAATAGGTAAAGCAGAAACCAGATTTTATAGGAACTTGAAATAGGAGATAGAAAGTGGAAAACACATTTACTGAAATTTTTTTCAGGAAGTTTTTCTTAAAAGAGGTGGGAGAAGCTGAACAGAAACCAAAAGCCATATGTGGTTACAGGAACATTTTCTTGTAGCTCCTGTAGGTTTGGTCATGATAGAAAGGGAGTGAGAAAAGAGATAGAAGAAAAAAAGAAGGGGTCTCCTTGGTCTCCTGAAATTCAAACTACAGATGAGGAGATTTGATTTAGACAGAAAAGAGAGGTGGCTTTATTCACAGTAAGCACAGGAAGAATAACAAGCAGCCAGCTGTGCAAACTAAGTGGTAAAAAGTTCCAGAAATCCTCTAATGGTCTCCTTTATTCTTAAAGGAAAATGAGATATTTTACAAGAGGTTAGCAGATTGAAGAAAGGTTTCCTCTTAAGTAACTGCTGTGAAGAATGATGATGAGATAGTGTGTCAGTGACAGGGATGACCTCAGGGCTCAGCTGAGACTGACTGGGTGTTCACATTTGTAGACACATATTTACACATTATTAGAATCACCATGTACTCAAGAGACAGAGGCAGGAGGATATCTGTGAATTTGAGGCCAGCCTGGTCTGCACGAGTTCCAGAACATGCCAAGGCTACATAGTGAGAACTTGTCTGGGGAAAAATACAAATCTCCATAGTGGCTGATTCTTTTCTAGTAAGAGAAATACCTATGATCATTCAAACATTGTCCTCTGTAGATGAATCTTGACAAATCCAGTAATTGTGAATGAAACACTTTTCAGAAAAAACACCCTTCTTTGTTATCAGGGCACAGGCTTCATCTTCAACCTGGCCTGTGACTTGAAATCTGCAGAGGAAAAGGCCACACATTAGTGACTCACAGGAGGGCAGGGCTCCACCCCAGATACTCACCCTCTGCCACAGTCTATAAGTGTTTTATGTTTTCCTTCTCCTCCAAGGTAGACACTTCAGATATTGCAACATTCAGACAGCAAATGAACTTTTCAAAACTAGAGCCAGATACCCTGGAGTGCTGAACTGCTGTGAAATAATCTTTTTGTACACTGTAAAGATGTCTTGCTCTCTTTGGTTTAGTAAATAGCTAGACAGGAAGAGGTTAGGCAGGATTTGCAAAGAGGGAGAAAGTGCTGATGTAAAGAAGGGCAGAGTCATCAGGAAACATAAAGAGAAGCAAGATGAATATTGCAATAGTGAGGAAAGGTACTGAGCCACATGGCAGAGCATAGATAAAAAGTATGGGTTAATAAGGTGTAAGAGCTAGTTAGTAACAAGCCTAAGCTATCCGCCAATCATTTATAATTAATAATAAGTCTCTGTGTGGTTATTTGGGAGCTGGCCAGTGGGACAGAAAATTCTGTCTATACTGAGCAGCACAACAGAAGTAATAACAAAGACCTGGCCTCAACATAGGAGAAACAACTCCTAATAGTTGTCCTTTGTGCATGGCCCACTGCAGCATGTATGCATGCACCATACACACACACACACACACACACACACACACACACACACACACACACACACCCCTCTGTAAGTAAAAACATATTTTGCAAATAAATAGTAAATCAAATTATGAAACCTTATCATCTTCCAGACCCAAATCCCAAATGTCACACATTTAAAACACCTTCCCTCGCTGCTATGAAATAAATTTCCTTGATTCTATTAGTAGTAACTAAAACATAAGCCAACTCTTTGGTATATTATGAGCTTGCTAAAGATAGAAATACCAACTCCAGTTAGGGAGGAGGGCAGAGTTAAGTGAAGAAACTTCCCCCATGCCTTTGTTCCACAGTGTTCAGACCAATCTTTTCTGTCTTAGATAAACACATGACAACACAATTTCATAAGCATGGTAGCTAATCTTGGCTATCAACTTGACTCATCTGGTAAGAGGGAGCCTCATATGAAGAGCTGCCTCCAGAAGAATGGCCTGTGGCCCTGTTCATGGAGGATTTTCCTGGTTGCTAACTTATGGAAGAGGGCCTAGCCCACTGTGAGTGGTGCCGTCCCTGGGTAGGTGGTCCTGGGTGTATAAGAAAGGTAGCTGAGTAAGCCATAGAGAGCAAACTATTTCCTCAATGGCCTCTGCTTCAGTTCCTTTCTCCAAATGCCTGCCGTGCTTGATTAAACTCCCCCATTGGCTTCTCTCAATGGTGGATTTGGTTGGAAAGTGTAAGCCAAAGAAACCCTATCCTCCCCAAGGTGCTTTTGGTTATAATGTTTATCACTGCAAGAGAATGAAAACTAGAATATGTTGATTATAATTTTCCACTTGTAACTTCTGCATTATTAAATTCAATGGGGGTCTAAATAGTACCATACATTATTTTAGGAGCCTCTGGTTCTCCAAGACAATTTTTATGAACTTTTGTAAATTAACAGGTATCAAACTTTTCCATCCTACAATCACCTGACCACTTGAAGCTCCTGAGAGCTACCAGTAGGGGGTGGTCTATAGAGGTCTCACATTTCCCCAGTGGTATACAGACACCAAACACTCACAGATGTTGGTGTAACGGTGTGCCATCCAGCCAGGTCCATGTTTTCTGTGTGTCTGTAACATTCAGTCCAATCCAAAAGTAAACTCCATCGTGTATTTTACTCTGGATGAAATCCTGAGAAAAGAGACCCAGAGGAAATCATCCAGATATCAGCTATGAAGAGAGACACTGCTGGTTTCTTACATACAAACCTAAAAAGATTCTGATGCTCATATTTCTAGCCAGGAAGGTTGCAAGAAGTCTTCTGTATATTTAGAAAAAGAAACTGTGTGGGTCGGTTTTCCAACTGCGTGACTTGTCTATACATTCTGTTTGATGGAACTGAGGAGGATACAAATAGCAGTCTATGAAAGGGTACAGAGGAGACAAAAGCAGGAATAGGACTGCCTAGAGGTGACTTGAAATGGGTTAAGAGACATGTGAATCAAAACTAAACATCTGTTCTGACTAAAACATCTTCCTCATTACCAAGATTCTTGACAGGCTGCCAGGAATTGGCAATGGTTTGCATTTTATTTATTTGGCTGTAAGTTTTTGAGACAGAGTCTCACTGTATAGTCCAGGCTAGCCTCAAACTCACCTATCTCAATTCTATTGCCTCAGTCTCCCAAATTCTGGGATCGCAGGTGAGCACTACCATCGCTGGTTAAATTGGGAATGTTTTGATGGGTCCTTCAAACTTCTCTCTTCCTCCATGCAGAAGCTCAGTATTGATAGTAAATTATCCTAAGAACCTGACTGTGCCACTTATCTGTAGAGTAACATAGCCAAATTATGCCCCTGGGGAAACTGTATAATATTCCCTGTAGCTGTAGCGAAAATTCTGTCTCACAAGTTTAATCTTAGAGGTAATTAAGATTATAGCTGTAAACTGCATTGCATAGTGATTAGCACATGACTGACATTCAACAAATGATGGCAATTAACAGTAGAATAATTGTGTTATCATAAACTGTACCCACATCTCTTGGTTTAGAAAGGACTAAGTTTCATGAGATTAGCTCTTACCAGTTCTGCCTTGTCTTGGATCACTAAGAGACGTGATTTCCTTACTGCACAGGATATTTTACTGTCAATCCATGACGCAAAGTTCATGTAAAACTTGTAACATTTCCCTTGTTTCTGGAACCAGTCATCAGGGCATGATTTTCCTAGAAGAAAAAAAAAAACAGTATGGGAAGAAATAGAAAGGAGAAAGAAGTTTTAAGACCCAAAGCAATTGCTGCATTGTTTTTAAACTTCAAAAAAAAATTAGGTCTGCAGAAATGGCTTAGTGGTTAAGAGCACTTTCTGCTTGTGCAGAGGACTCAGATGCAGTACCCACTACCCACGTGGCAGCTGTAATTCCAGTTCCAGGGGACCCGATGCTCTTTTCTGGCCTGTGTAGGCACTGAACATATGTGACATGCAGACAAAAGACTCATACACATAAAATAAGAATAAAGATTTTTTTTAAAAAAGAGTAACAACACTGTCTCACTTTTAGGGAACCAATTCCCTTCTCTCTTTCCATTAATGAAAAGTCCATAGAAGAGGCAAATGCTAACACATTCACAGGTTGTTTTTTTTGTTTTTTTTTTTTTAAGGCTATACCGAACTTGTAAATTGCTGTATTGGTTTTATTTTTTAATGTATTTTATAATTTGATTTAATTTTACATATCAGCCACGGATTCCCCTGTCCTCCCTCCTCCCCCCTCCCCCCCACCCCCGCGGCCTCCCCCAGCCCACCCTCCATTCCTGTCTCCTCCAGAGCAAGGTCTCCCCTGGGGATTCAGCTCAACCTGGTAGATTCAGTCAAGGCAGGTCCAGTCCCCTCCTCCCAGGCTGAGCAAAGTGTCCCTGCATAGGCCCCAGGTTCCAAATATCCAGCTCATGCACTAAAGACAGGTCCCGGTCCCACTGCCTGGATGCCTCCCAAACAGATCAAGCTAATCAACTGTCTCACTTATCCAGAGGGCCTTTTCCAGTTGGGGGCTCCTCAGCTATTAGTTCATAGTTCATGTGTTTCCACTAGTTTGGCTATTTGTCCCAGTGCTTTTTCCAATCTTGGTCTCAACAATTCTCACTCATACAATCCCTCCTCTTTCTTGCCGATTGGACTCTCGGAGCTCCACCTGGGGCCTGGCAGTGGATCTCTGCATTCGCTTCCATCAGTCATTATTTATTGAAACTATATATATAAAGTCTTTTCCTAAATTCCAAAGACATATGAATGTATAAAATATTTTCCTTACAAAAAACTTAAGACAGGTACAAAGTTATTAACCTCATATTCCTCATTGTATAAATAAAGACAGTTAAATTTAATAAAATACAGAGAAACTAAAGTTTATATAACTGACTCAGGATTATACACCTGATTAGTGGTGGGCAGAGTGAAAATTAAAGCAACAGCAGTGTATCCGAGCAGACTGCAGAAGAGATCAGTGGCGGCCTCCAAGGCATACAAGGGTGAATTCTCTACAACTCACGCTCTCTGTCTTAAATGCAGGTGGTCTAAAACAGTGGGCAGAGGACGAAGTGTGTCTTCTACCATTTGACAACCAAGAGCTGATAAATTCACCTAGATAATTAGTGAATTTAGTGTGTGTGTGTGTGTGTGTGTGTGTGTGTGTGTGTGTGTGTGTGTGTGTTGAGTGCACGCCTACTCCACAGCCCGCATAGGGAGGAATCAGTTCTCTCTTCCACGTGGGTCCCAGGGATGAAACTCAGGCTGTCCGACTAGGTGGCCAGTGCCTTGCCTGCTGAGCCCTGTGGCCAGCCAGGAAGAACAATTTTTAAAAGCAGAATTCATAAAAAAAATATTGTAATCTCTTTACAATAGACAATCACAGTCCATGAGGTTTTGAAGTAATGATCCAAGAGTGTTTAAAAAGAGACATGTGGGCTAGAAATGAAAAGTGCTAAGGAAGCAGTTATTCTCAAAATTCTCTTTCAGCACAGAAAGTATCTCTTCGTACACTGAAAGAACACTGTAGTATAGTTTAGCCTCAGGGGCCAATAGATTTATCTCCTTGAAAAGGAAAATTTGAGTATTAAATTAAACTAATATTCAGAAGTTAGTATATATGTTTTAACTGAAATAATTATTTATGCCTTCAACTTAGTTGCAGATATATAAAACTGTATTTTACTTAAATTTTAGTTAGTTTTATTATCTAAGTAGTGAATATTTTTAAATATTCACAAATATTTTCAAATACTTGGTACATATCAAAGAGGATTAATGTGAAAATAGAACCTACAAAATTTTTTTTTGAAAATAAACTCTATACAAAGCTAGTTATTGAGACTGGGAAGTTGTTCCTAATATATATATAATCTTGTTTTTACTTTTGTTTTTGCCACAAGATCTCCCTGTGTAGCTCAGGGTGGCACAGGGCATTGATGATGCTCCTGCCTCAGCCTCTTGAATGCTGAAGAAATCTGTAACTGTCATAAAGGGCTTTGGGGACCAGCAACATGCCTCAGTGGGTAAAAGTGCCTGACACTAAACATTCCAATCTGAAAGAACAAAACAAAAAATCCAACAATTTCACAGCTTATCTTTGGACCTCCACAAGTACATCTTGCCACATGCATCCACATACATACATGCACACAAAAAAATTTGATAAAATTAAGATAAAAATGAGGGCTTTTCTCCCTCCTCTGATCTCAGGAATCTAGGTGAAGAAGTTGGTAAGCTAGCCTCTTCTTTTGTTAGTTTCCAGGTGCATTCTAATAACTTTTCTTCCGTGAGCTTGTCTTTTGTCAGCTTAATTTGCTTGGTCCCAATACCAAGAGCTGAAAGGATCGAGGAAAAGATTCCCGTCCTTAAGATGCGGTGACATGGACCACTTACCCGTGGAGTTTATTTTGTCCTGCTGTTGTTTCCTGGGAGAAATATCCACACAGCTGCAACATCTGCTTTCATTATTACCAAGTATCCCCTCGTTGTGCTTATCACTTAAGGAATGTACACTCAGCTGACTTACTGAAGAGTAAAAAAAACAGAATGCTAATTATATTTCTACATATACAAGCCTGCACCCCTTTATTTTAATAAAATTGTTATGGAATACACACACTGCTAGTCAAGAAGATATCTGATCGATAATATCTCCACCTTTTAATTTTACAAAGGAAATGAGAAGGTTTCTCCCTACCAAGACCTATATAGAGACACAAAATAATATTATCTAAATCAAATTTTAAAAGATAAAACTTTTCTTTATTCATATTAAAGATTAAGACAGTCAGTTAAATTTTCTTTATATTTATTAAAATTTCCTAATGTGGTGGATTGGAATTGTATGTGAGCTTAAAGCTAGTCATAGGATCATTATACTGCTCAGTGTTTTCACCAGGAACCAAAAAGAAAGCACTTCATAAACTCTAGGGTTCTTTGGAGACTTAAACATACTGTAAATCAGTCATTTACTGTAATTCCTAACACATGGTAACTGCAAATGGAAGAAATAACAAACACAATTGTGTATTTTTATCTGTGTGCTGTTGACTTTAGCAATAGACCTTGGATTTAATTTGGACCTAACTTCTCAACCAGCTGATAAGTTTTATTCCAAGTTTCAAAACATCTAATTTTGTAATACACTTAAAGGATAAAGCTAACTTTGATAAAACCTTAGTTCTCTCACTAAAATCTACAACTTCATCTCCTAGAAGAGTTAGGTCCAAATTCACATATTTAGCAATAAGTTAAAATTAAGGTAGGATAGATTTTCAAATTGACACACACATAGGGCATCATTCGTGATCACAGTAGGATCATTTCATGTCAACAGAACTAAAATAATGATGGAAATCAGCATAGGATAACATGCAAAGTGATTCTGCAACTCTGGAGAGAGCCAGAGAAACTCTTTAGGAAACACTATGGTCTCCACATCTGGGCAGGTAGTTTTCAAAACACTCACCATGGATAGCTAGTCCTATCACTGTGGCCACCAAGAAAACCAATGCAATGCTGGCCAGTCTCAGAGCTGTCTGATGCCATCTTGGACACTCTGGGTAATCTGTAATGATTAAATGTTCTTCTATAACACTTAAAATATACTCATAAATGTGTCATAACAATAGGAAATCCTGAGAGTACACACTGTCTTAAGACAAGAAAGGAACCTATAATCTTTTAAGTGGTGAGGTAAATGGGTGTGGTGACTCAAATCTGTAAATCCAGAATTCAGGAGGTTCAGGCAGGAGCATGGCCATGTGTTCATGGCCAGCCTGGAATAATAGAGTGAGACTGTCTCAGGTGAGCAAACAACAAAGAAGTTCAACATACTTTGTTTACCATCATTAAATAAGCTTCTTACGTTGGCAATTTTATTCTAAAGTCACACATCAGAGAGTAAAGTAAGTTGTTTAGCTTTCATTTGCACAGTGATTGACTTACTCAGATAAAATCATAAGAAAGAGTCCCAGGAAGAAACACACAAGAAATGCCAAAATAACTGAGTGAAAGTAAAAAAATAAAAATAAAAATAAAAACACAATTGTCTGAGGAGGTACATGAGCAAAACTAATTTTAATCATCTTCTGAAAAACAAAATACATTTATATTGATTTATGAAACAAAACTCAGGTGCTAATCATTATAATTATATATTTTACTTTAATAAATAAAAAATTTCCTTAATCTTCAACTCAGGAAAAAAACTAACTCATTACACTCACTCTAAGTATATTTATAAATGTATTTTATGTGCCAAGAATTAGGCTGCTATACAGTTATAGGTATAGATAACTACACACTCTCGTAAGTGGGTAAATAGTTGTAAATAGATCATTGCAAAATAGGTAACAAAATTCTTAAGATGAAGTTAGTTTAACTTCTAATTATTAACACTGAAAGTAGAGTTAAAATTTCCCACTAACTTTCTAGGCATCTAGCCAGTCATCAAATAAAGGATTCTAGATTCCTACCTTTGTATGTCCATTTGTGTTGGCAGTGATAGGAATGTTTTCTAGGCTTCTTTACAGTTACTCTTTCTGCGTCTTGCATCTGCCCAACCATCCTATAAATAGAAAAATCCATTTTTGAAGGAAACAGAGACATCATCTAACAAAAAAAAAGTGCATATAAAATTGTAGCACTGAAACACACACAGCCTATCTCTGTAAAACCACAAAGGATATGGCCTCAGAAGTAGAGGGGAATTTGTGCTTTAAACCACAAAGTTTCTTTTATCATAGATTTTAGAGTTGCAGAAAATTGCTGAAAGCTCTCGTGTTTTCTCTGTTGATATCTTATTTATTTTCTTTCCTTATGGAGACAGACAGACAGATGTGGAGAAAACAGAAAGGAAAAGCAGATATGACATTTTATGACAAATTTGGCACAATTAATGACTCAATATTGATGGTTATTTTTAATTAATCCCTTGTCCGGATTTCGCCTGTTCCCTGCATTTGAAGACCCTGGCGCCATACATAGCAAGGTAGAGTGTGTTTATTACTCCTATCTCTTTGGGACACTCTTTGATCTGTCAGTTTCTTATTCCTTCCTCATTTTTGACTATTTTGAAAGTTTCAAAAAATGCTGATAACGTACTTCATAGAACATTCCCGATTTGAAATAGTGTATTTATCTCACAATTGCACTCAGAGTTTTGGATGAAGAACAAAAAGGTGAATTGTCATTCTCGCCATATCCTCTAGAGGGCGCCAATCACCAGCATAAATATCTCTGCATCTATTACTAGACAGCACTAGTCAGGTGGGTTTCTTAAAAAGTTCCTCTATCCACCCTGTTTGAGGAAATTATGAAAAGAAAACCTGTAAGCATTCACGTGACGGCTTTCATAAAGCTTAGATTTTAAAATGAGAAGGCTGATTCCAGAATCATACCTCAGACTGTCTAGCTTTATACAAAACTATTAAACTATCTTTCAAAGCAGCTGTTCCTTTCTCTACTGCCAGCGTGAATGAAGAGCCCCAGTACATCATCACTTGATTTCGAGAACTTTAATGTTAGCATTCTATAGGCATCTGCTGACATCTCACATCTCCATGCTGGGTTTATTTGCATTCCCCTTTTGCTAATGTTTATGTGCTAATTGCCCTCCTATGCATCTCCTTTGATAGATGACATCTCAATGCTGGTTTTGTTGGTATTTCCCTTTTGCTAATTGCTGATGTTTATGTACTAAGTGCTCTCCTATACATCTCCTTTGATAGATCTATTTGGACTATAGGCTCAGATCTCACTTGGGCTGTGTCCTTACCTATCATAACACACATCATTTTACTGTTTGTATTTTGCAAATTTGCACTACCAGTTTGAAGAATGTGTTTTCAACATCTTTAAACTGTCTTGTATAGCAGTGGTTTTTTGATTCAAGTAAACACAACTTTCTTGTTTTTTTTTCTTTTTCATGGATTGAGTTTTAGGCATTGTATACAAAACCTGTTTACCAAATCAAGGTTATAAAAATCATCACTTGTATTTGCTTCTGAGAGTTTTATAATTCATTTCTGTATTTGGTTCTTTGTTTAAAAATTAATTTTTGTTTAAAGTGCAGAATTTTATAAGTTCTTTAAATTTTTCATACATTGAAATCTAATTTTTCTAACACTACTTATTGCTATGCTCAGATCATGAGGACCCCCAAAAAGACCACCACGGAGACTGAATCCCATGTGTAAAAGCAAAGACCCTTTATTTCAAGCTCAGAACTTGGTCTCTCTATCTGTCCAACACAGCAGTGTGAGCAGAGAGTCCTGAGCCCGAGCAAGATGGGGTTTTTATCATAGCAGAAGTTGGGGTGAGGGGAATTCTAGGGTTCAGGACCCTGATTGGCTGACATTTGTCTAGAGGTGCTTGGAATTTTTGGAATGTCAGGTACTTCCCCTTAGATCCAGGCCCTTCATGGATGAGGTCAGCTTATGGTTTTTCCTGGATCCGGGTGTTGCCTGCCAGTAAGCCTGTCACAGAAGCTGTGTCTGAGCCTCTAAGCATGTCATGGCAGCTGTGTGGTCAAGCTGTTTTGGGCCCCCAAACACGTATCATATATATATATATATGTGTGTGTGTGTGTGTGTGTGTGTGTGTGTGTGTGTGTGTGTGTGCACACACATGGGAGTGTACATCATGTCTGGTTAGCTATTAAGAGGCTTTGTGGTGTGGAACAATCTTTTTGTACAATATGAATGTGTATTACTCTCACTGGTTAATAAAGAGCTGACTTGCCAATAGCTAGATAGGATGTTTAAGTCAGAGGAATGCTGGCAAGAAGAAGGGCAGAGTCTCTGGGGTCAGGAGGAGATGCAGAGAGAAGCAAGATGAACTTGCTGTGTTGAAAAAAAAAAGGTACCACTACATGGCAGAGCATAAATAAGAAATATAGGTTAATTTAAATTGTAAGAGCTAGTTATTAATAAGCTTGAGGTATTTGATATTTATTAAGTGGCACTGTTTACTGCATGAGAGAAGCCACAAGGCACAACAAAACCCACCATAAGAGTTTATTAAGGGAAGGGAATAGAATGGGTGTGCATAGGCCTATGGAATGACTGTGCAGGAAGAGAAGGAAGGAATAGGTAGAACCCACTTTTATAGGTCCCCCCAAACATGCACATATGAGCTTACATAGCTATGCTGTGCATGCACATAGATTACATGATCACGCTGCACATAGATTATGTGATCACACAGTGCATGGATTACATAGGACATAAAGCCCTGGGATGACTAAGCATCTTGCCTAGTTACTCGACAGTGGATGGGTGGCCATGTAGCTTGGGGAGTGGCTAGGAATTCTAACAAATTGGCCAAGCATTTATAATTAATATTAAGTCTCTGTGTGATTATTTGGGAGCTGGCTCACAGGACAGGAAAAGTCCATTGACATATGGTGCCCAACATTAGGCAACTTAGATCCACATGAAACCTGAGAAAGCTTAAGAAAAGGTTCCAAACACACATAACCAGAGCCAAACATGGCTTCTTAGTCTCACAGTCTCATGTCAACTGCAATACAGAGACACATCTTCCAGCAGCTGCCTGCAGGACGGAGCCAGCCACCAGCTACCATGAGCTACCGTCATACACTAAGCTGAACAGAGCAGGCATCTGACATAGCAGTTTAAGATTCATCTCATGTGATCAAAGGACAATACAGATGCTCAGTAAAGACAGATCCAGACAAAGGAAACCTCTAAATGTGTTACAGTGGGTTTAAAAATATAAATAGGCTTAGGAGAGAAAAGCAGATATACTATCAAATTAAAGAATAGTTTTTTAAAAAGAATAAAATAATAAAAAAACATAATAAGCTATGTAAAGATGGAAAATACACAGAGTCTGGATCCTGTATGTTATTGTGTTCTCTCTAAATTTTTTGATTGCTAATGAATAAATGACATCTGCTAAGACACATCAGATTATGGAGGCTCCTGGATTAAAGCAACCTATATATTTTAAAAATATCTTGACTTCAAAATGGAAGTCAAAAGGCATGTTGCTTTGGGAAAGAGGTTATGCTTTTATTTCCATAGGAAATGAGAAGCTATGAATTCATTCCAAGTTGATACAGATGAGGGGAATACTCCATGAAAATCCTGACTACAGACACAAAGAAATAAACCTAAAAACACCCTACAAGACAAATAACATATATTTTACCTGCTCAAATACAAAACAAAAAAATCATCTTTAACTGACTTGTGCACACCATATATTCCATACTTGTAATATATGTTACCTTTTAAAGTTTATGTATTTTCAGAGCAAGGGGACCAAAAAACAATAAAAATGAAAGGCCCAGATGATCTAACATCTCAAAATGCCTCTGTTAAAGTTTGTGAGTTCTGCATCCAGAACAGCTTCATGGCTACTGGCTGAGGTAATCCAACCTCACAAAATACTCCAGCCAAGATTTAACAATTTAATTAATCCTGATTTTCTCAAGGTTGCCCCAAAGATTCCAGTGCCCCCGGACAACAGGAAGAAATCTAGAAAAAACAATGCCCACATTCCCAAAAGATGGGTTATGGCTATAATCATTTAAGAGGGGTTGGTTACAAGTTGTTATTGGTCATTAAAAAAAAAAACTAAACAAAAGAATTAAATTCAAAGATCTCTTTCTAAAGGAAAAACGGGGGATAGTATATAAAAATGATGGGATAAAATGGTAGATTATTGAATCTACTTTAATCCAAAAAAACAACTATTAATCTCAAAATATTTTTCTTGGTATGGATTTTGGTATATTTTTACAAATTTAAAGTTAATTTTGTTATACTGTGTATATGCTTCTACTCTTGCTTGGGGTATTGTGCTTATGCAGCTCATTTAAAAATATAATGTATAATTAAAAATATAGATTAATAGTTATTTATATATAATAATCAAACTTGTAGTCATATTAGGTATGTTTTCAATGTTAAACAGACATATTTAGATAGATGGTCTTCAAATACTTCAAAGGCCTACAGAATATGGCATTTAGTATGTTTAATAACCTAAGGCTTTTCATGACAGTGAGATACATCTGCTCCTAACAGCACTGATCTATTGTATAAAGTATACTGTATAAAGTATAGTGGGCATCAAAGAACTTTCATATGAAGTTTGCTTTCTTAATGGCAAAGGTTAACCATTTGGGTAAAGAAACTTTCCTTTCCTCAATTGCTGACAGTATACTGTCCAAACTAAACCAGTAGGATGCAAAAGAAAGTAACTGCCAAACTTTGCCAAGATAAGGTAGGACAATCCTTCAAAATTCCCTGCTTCTCAAAAATGTCTGTCAGATATACTAGGCCTGTAGGCCAAAGTTGGATGCCTCAACATTACATAAGAACTTTGGTAACTGTCCAGGCAACCAGATATCCCAGTCATTAGGTAACATTACACACTTCTGGGGTCTTTGATGGAGTTAAAGACTAAATAATTAGAATTACAGTTTTCCTTAGTTATGATAAAAGGTAAATTAGATATAAAACTTTAGACTCACAAAGATAAGATAGATAATAGACTATTTTCTCTAATTTTACCAAATACAAATGGACTGGATATTGTTACTATAATTCTTACTTGACTACTATTTTTTTTTTTTTGGTTTTTTTTTTTTTTTGGTTTTTCGAGACAGGGTTTCTCTGTGTAGCTTTGCGCCTTTCCTGGAACTCGCTTTGGAGACCAGGCTGGCCTCGAACTCACAGAGATCTGCCTGGCTCTGCCTCCCGAGTGCTGGGATTAAAGGCGTGCGCCACCACCGCCCGGCTTTGACTACTATTTTTATTATATATAGTTTTACTATGTTAAAGTCAAAACCTTCCTTTTTAATTAGACATATGTGGAACAATCTTTTTGTACAATACAAATGTATTACTCTCATTGGTTAATAATAAACTGTCTTGCCAATAGGTAGGTAGAATTTTGGGGGCAGAGGAATACTGGAAAGAAGGATGGAGTCTCCAGGGTTGGGAGGAGACATGGAGAGAAGCAAGATGAACTTGCCATGTTGAAAAAAGGTGCCAACACATGGCAGAGTGTAAATAAAAAATATGGGTTACATTTAAAATGAAAGAGTTAGTTAGTATTGACTGAGCATTTATAATTAGTGTTAAGTCTCAGTGTGGTTATTTGGGAGCTGACTGGCAGGACAGGAAAAGTCCACCTACAGCTTTGTGTTTTTCTCAAAAAATGAATCAGTTTTATTGGTGTGGCTTTATTGGGGGAAGTATATTTTGTTCTGTTTATTTATTCATTTGTTTTTCCTTTTTTGGTTTTTGTTTTATTTTGTTCTTTGAAACAGGATCTTATGTAGCCCAAATTAGCCTTGAACTATATATGTAAGCAAGGTTCACCTTGAACAAGATCTGATCTTCCTGCCTATACCTTTCAATGACAGGTATGCAAGATGACTCATGCATCAGTTTGTTCTGTAGGACCATGCTTATTTGACTACTTTAGATTAAGACCTTAAAATTATTCTTTATGAATCCTCCAAACTTTTAAAATTCCTTATCAAAATTGTGGTGATTATTCTAGTTACTTCTATATATTTAAAATCAGTTTTTCAAAGTCCTTGAAATGATTTGAATGGGTTTATTTGAGATTGTAGACCATAGATAAAATTGGAGAAATTTGACATCTTAACAAGCATGAGTCTACCCACTCACAAACGTAGAATACCTCTGCATTTATTGAGCAATTTGATTTCTTTTGGAGTTTGTAGTTTCCCACATACAGATCATATATATTTATCTCTAAACTTCTTTAGTGTTTTGGTTCTATTGTAAATTGTACTTCTAAATGTTAAATTCTAATTATTCATTGTTAATATGCAAGAAACAATTAACTTCTTTTTTCTCTTTATTGAGAAATTTTTTTATTAATTTTATATACCAACCACAGATACCCCTCTCTTCCCTCCTCCTGCCCCCACCCCAGCCTTCCCCTTCCAATCCACCCCCATTCCCTCCTCTGAAAAGGTAAGGCCTCCCATGAGGAGTCAGTAGAGCCTGGTACATTCAGTTGAGGCAGGTCCAAGCCCTCCCCCTGTATCAAGGCTGTGCAAGGTATCCCACCATAGGTAATGGGCCCTAAAATGCCAGCTCATGCACCAAGGATGGATCCTGATCCTACTGCCAGGGGCCCCTTCAGCAGATCAAGCTACACAACTGTCTTGCTTATGCAGAGGACCTAGTCCAGTCCCATGGAGGCTCCACAGCTGTTGGTCTGAAGTTCATGAGTTCCCACTAGCTTGGTTTGGTTGACTTTGTAGGTTTCCCGATCATGATCTTGATACCCCTTGCTCATAGAATCCCTCTTCCCTGTCTTTGATGGGTGGTGGGGGGCAACAGAGGGTAGGGGATGGGGGATGAGAACATAGGGAATAGGATGGTTGAACTGGAACAGGAACAGAGTGGGAGAGCAATGAAAGAGATATCTTGATAGAGGGAGACATCATGGGGATAGGAAGAAACCTGATGCTAAGGAAGTTCCCAGGAATCCACAAGATGACCCCAGCTTAAACTACTAGCAGTAGTGGAGAGGGTGTCTGAGCAGGCTTACCCCAGTAATCAGATTAGTGAATACCGTAACTGCCATCATAGAGTCTTCATCCAGTAACTGATGGAAGCAGATGCAGAGATCCACAGCCAAGCACCAGGCTGAGCTCCAGGAGTCCAGTTAAAGAGAGGGATTCTATGAACAATTAACTTCTTAGTGTTAATCTTCAACCCTGCACATTCAGTGCTCCCCCTTCTAACTTTGGGGATTTTTTATGTTGGTTTTACAAGTGGTCTACCTGAACAGTCACGTCATCTGTGACATGAAACTGCTTTCTAAACACTGATTGAATAAAAGAATAAGTTAACATTCTCTTCTTTCCGACAATCTCATGACTAAAAAAAAATAAATTCTTTGGTTCATTCTTTTCCAGTCTGTATACCTTTTGCTTTGTTCTCATCTGAGGCCAGAATTTCTGTTTCTTCATGAAGAGCTTGGACTTCCAGTCTAGTGTGAAAGCAGGTGGTAAGCATGGGTGTCTTTGCTTCTGATTCTAGAGGAAGATACATTTTGTCTCTCACTTTGAAACCAATGTTAGCTGAAGGCATAGGCAGGCAGATGTCTAGGAGTTCCATGCTAGCTTGTTTCACATAACAAGTTCCAAGCCAGCCTGTTCTTCATCGTGAGACACTGAATAAAGAAAGAAACGGAGAGGGTGGGGCTGCACCAGCTTTTTATAGAAGCAAAACTATTATTTCTGCTCCAACAGAGGAGAAAATACATAGCTGCGAAATTATGAACTAGAAGGTAGACCTAGTGGCTGGCGTATATCTGTAATCCCAGGTGGAAGGCTGAGACAAAAGGGTGCCCGGTTCAAAGCAGAGTGAGCTACATAGCAATACTTTGTCTCAAAAAAATGTTTTAAGTAGAAAATGCATAGAATAATTGCTCTATACCCCAAATTCTAAACACATTTGGCCCTGTTAATCAACAGACCTGCTCAGATTTCTAACCTGTTTCCTACATCAAAGAAAGACAGGATGATGGGACAACCACAGCCAGTTCCTTGTCAGCAGCATCAGTGACGATGACATTTCTTAGACACACTGTGAAGGCTGTGGTTTATCTAGACTTTTATCATCTATTTCCTGTGCCCCCATAATTTGTTTGAAATTTTGCACAAGCCTTAATCATTCAGAGTAGCATGCACAAAAGCACATATGACACACTGTCTGTATGCTTTAGAGGCAGGGACAGTAGCAAAAGAGACACATGGAAGAGAAGCTTGGGATCCAAGGGGATTCTTCAACAGCATCTCCACTAGGAGAGACTATTTGTCAAGAGGCTGCAGGAGGTGGAGAAGCAGAGAACAGAATAGAGCAACTGGAGAATAAAAATAATAATGAGCTTAAGGGCAGTTGTGAACCATGGGTGTGTGCACATGAGGAAGCTCACTTGATGCCTAGTGCAAGCTGTTTATACAAATGTGGTGCACATATATACAGGTCAGAAAAGTGCAACAGATTCCCTGGAACTGGAGTTACAGATAGTTGTGAGCCCTCATGTGGATGCTGGGAATCGAACCCCAGGTCTTCCTCGAACAAATATACAGACAAAATAACAAGTATAAATCACCTCAGCCATTTTTTTCCATTCACTATTAATAATTCTGATTGACCTTAAGAAAAATAAAGATGTAGTCTTCTGGGAAAATCTCAATTCTAAATCAAAGTATACATTTCTAGAAGGTTATTGAAAGGAAGCCCTTCTCAGAAGACCAAGCCTGGTCTGTGAAATGGAAGATAGCATCTCTTGTCTATACATTACCTGATCTTTAGAGATAGCTCTCAGCCAAGGGATTTCCATAACTTGGATCATGCACCTGACCACACAGATAGAACGTGTCTTTCATTTGATTGTGTTGATGAAAATGCAACACAACTGAAAATAAACTATGACTTTCTAGAATGAAAACACCTGTCTTTTCATATGTAGACTATCAAACCCTCAGAGGTAAGAGTCTATTAACATGACGTTTTGAATTGGTGACCTTGGTATGCTGTAGAATGTGGCAACGTATTTTGAAGCAATTTAGACACACAATTTTAAGGATATTCGCCATCAATGAAATAAAGTACTGTGAATCCTGGCATTTGAGTGTGTGAGGAGATAATGAGATTAGCCAGATGTATCTACATGAAACTGAAACCAATGATACTTGTCTTTTTCTGAACTTGCAATGGTATAAGCAGTCTTTCTCTGTCCCACCTGCCAGCTCCCAAATAACCACACGGAGACTTCTTATTAATTATGCATGTTCAGCCTTAGCTTAGGCTTGTTTCTAACTAGTTCTTATAACTTAAATGAAGTCATATCTTTCAATCTACATTCTTTTACATGGCTTGGTTACCTTGACTCTGTACTGCCCATCCTGCTTCCTCCACGTCTGGCTGTTGACCCCACTTTCTTCCTCTCTGAGTCATCTCTCTCCCAAGAAGTCCTGCCTAAACTCTTCCTACCTAGCTAATGGCCATTCAGCTCTGTATTTAACCACTCACAGTGACACATCTTTACACAGTGTAAAGGAATATTCTGCAACACAATGGCAGCTTCCAAAAATAAAAAAAGGATCTACCTTTAAAGAAAAAGGTAGATCCTTGGTCCCAATCTTAAAGTCTAATCCAATATATTTAGGATAGTGTGTAGGAATACATATTTTAAACATTAACCCCTTCAGAGAAGATGGGCACATTTATCAAAATTACTAACTTAAGTTTGGAAAAAGAAGATAAGAAAAAAATATGCCACATTAGCTTCTTACTTAGACAGTTGCCAAAAAAGGAGAAACTAGATCACACAGCCCTGATTCTACCATGGTATTCTCCCCAGAACACAGTACTTCTCTATCAATTACTTTGGAGATTACTGAAAACAGTAACCTTGTGGATTTTTTCTTTTACAGTGTCTTATCATGTGACCATGGCTGTGCTGAAACTTGCTATATAGACCAGCCTGGCCTCAGACTCACAGACATTCTCCTGCCTTTGCCTCCTGAGTCCTGGAAAAAGCTGGATTTGGATGTTTTTCATAAATATGTTCTGATTGAAATGGTATTGACAGCTTTGGAGGAAAAAGGTATAATTTATTTTTTAACCTAGATATCTTTGACTTTACTATCCAGTGCTGTGGGATGTTCTGTATGGCAAATGTGTTGCTGATTAGTCAATAAATAAAACACTGATTAGCCATTGGCTAGGCAGGAAGTGTAGGTGGAACAAGGAGGAGAATAAAGCTGGGAAGTGGAAGGCTGAGTCAGAGAGACACTACCAGCCGCCATGATGAGAAACAGCAAGTGAAGATGCCGGTAAGCCACGGGCCACATGGCAAGGTATAGATGAATAGAAATGGATTAATTTAAGCTGTAAGAACAGATAGCAAGAAGCCTGCCACGGCCATGCAGTTTGTAAGCAATATAAGTCTCTGTGTTTGCTTGGTTGGGTCTGAGCGTCTGTGGGACTGGCAGGTGAGAGAGATTTGTCCTGACTGTGGGCCAGGCAGTAAAGCTTTAGCTACAATCCAGGTCATAAATCCTCTTTTGTGCACTATGACAATATTGTAAGTTACTGTTTTATCAACATTCAAAGTCAGTGTTTTGTGCAATGATTCTGGACAGAATCCATAGTTTTTATAAATATGTTGTTATTTCAGCCAAGTTAGCACTAGAACTCACCTGCTTTTGCACTGTTTGTTTGCTTGTTGCCATTGTTAAACTATTCAGCTGGATTCTATCAGTTCTTGCTACTTTGCCCAATATGACCTATCTTTAGGCAGCATAAAACTCTACTTAAAATCCTTTGTAACACATCAGGTGGCTGGTTGAATGTTTTATAAAATTCATTAAGAAAGCTAGGATCAGAAAAGGAAAATAGAGATGGAGAGATGATTCAGTGGTTAAAAGCACCGGCTGCTCTTCCCGAAGACCTGGGTTCAATTCTCAGCACTGCCATAGCAGTTTACAACTGCCTGTCACTCCAATTCCTGGGGATTTGATGCTCTCTTCTGGCTTCTGATACACAGACATATGTGCAGGCAAAACAACCATACAATTAAAACAGAAGTAGTGAATGTAAATGAAAAGGAACATAGACCACAAGAAGACCAATCACACAGGGCTAAAGCCATACTAAAATGACTTAGCAAAGGACTCTTCCCTCAATGGGAGCAGCTTTCCTCCTTCACAACCTCAGGACAGCTGCAGGCCTCTCCACAGAGTGATAGGAGCCAAAGCAGCCAGGCCTCAAGAGCAGGAAGGTGCTTGCTGCCATAAAATTCAAGACACTCTTCCAAGTCTTTTATCTCTTGTCCCTAATTAACTCCATCATAATTTGCACAATCATGAAATGGTCCTCACTACACACAAACAAAGGTGAGAAATTTGTCCCTGAAGTTCTGAGTTTGTCAACCTGATGTGACCCGATGACAAAAGGACAAACTTGCAGCCCAGATTAGCATCCCAACCTTTGTCCAGCAGCTTTTCAAGAGTGTGGCTTCCAGGCTCACCCGTGATTATCTCTATAAAAGCAATCCCTGTTTTAGAATGCTTCATTTTACCTAAGGTAGAGAAGGCAAGTCTCCAGGAGTTTACTGCATCTAGTCAGGTCACATCACAGTCAGAAGATGAAAGAGAGTAAACACATGCTGCTGGGCATTTGCACAGTCCAGCATCCCAACCCAGTGATGCCACCCTCAGGGGTGGGTCTTCCCACCCCAGTTGCCAAATCAAGACAATCCAAATAATCCCCATGGGTAACTGACTTTAGGTTCTTTCAAGTTGGCAGTTAACCTAAGTCTTAGAGTATCCATTCCCTTTTTGTTGTTGTTGTTGTTGTTGCATCTGGACCCGAGGCTAGTGGACAGGCTACCTTCATTCAGAGAAACTTCCTCCCTCAGCTTGGTGACCCATATACCAATTGTTGCCAGAAGCAGCCCCGTTTTCTAAGTATCTCCGAACCCAATCAAGTTTACAACAAAAATTAGACAACGTGCAGACATATGACTAGCACCCATGTTAAGAATACCAACAACATATAAGAAACATAAAACCCACTTGCAAAAGCTAACAAATTATCAAGACCTTTCAGAAAAGAAGATACCCAAATGACTGGTACAGATATAAAAAGCTGATTGTCTTCATTTATGATCAAATAAAGAATATGAAATTTAGACCACACATAATAGCATTAGATATATACAGATCAGCAAATTTTAACAGAACTGAACACAGAAATATCAGTGAGACTGTGAAGCAACAGGAACAATGGTCCATCATGAGCTTGAGACAGAAAGGGATGCACAATTATTTGAAATACTAGCTTGGAAAAGTCACGCCAAAACATTCTCATTTAACAAATTCTACTCTTGGGTCTTTTTTTCTAGGAAACAAGTAAAATGGCAGAGGTTACATAGATAGAAATGTCCACTTCACTTCACAAAAACTCTAAGCAGTCGTAACAATAATTCACTCACGTGTCCATTAAAAGAAGGGGGCTGCAAAGCTACTTCAGAAATTAATGCTAATGGTCAACTCAGCTCCCTGTGAAAAGGCTGAGTCTCACAAGCTGTGAGACTGTGTAAAAGAAGAGTCACTTCATAGACAGAAAACT